AAAGGTTCCACCGGACTCAGGCTTCGTGTCACACTCCCGCTGTATCCGAAGAAGCGAGCAGCGGCTCCCAAAAGCGCGTCCCCCGCCACAAATGTCGTTAGCCTTTAAGGTGCTAACTGGACTCTCTTGCTCTTTTTCCCAACTCTCTCCGAGGCAGCTAATCCGCGTGGAGCCCGAGAGGGGAAGAGACGCAGCCGCCTCGGCTCGGACACTCACCCGCCTCCGTCTGGTTCCGACGGCCGGCCGGCTTGCCCTCCTCGGCAGCAGCCAGGCAAACCCCCTTGCCGCGCAGCAGGGCGTGCAGCGGGGCTCTCTCCCCGGGGCGCGGCACGCAGCGCAACCCGCGGGCGCAGCCGGGCGTGTAGACGCCGCACGGCTCGCCCGCCGCCCTGGCGCCGCAGCCTTTCTGCCCGCAGGGCGCCTTGTGGCTCCCGGCCTCGGGAGAGTCGCAGCCGGCCGGCGACAGGCAGCCGGGGTCTCCTCCGCGGGGTCCCAGCGCACCCCGGCTCCTCGTCGTCGCCGCCAGCCAAGCCAGGAGCGCCGTCGCCAGCCAGACCTGCGGGAGCATGGCGGGCTCTAAGACAGGGGGCGCGCGGATGGAGCGCTTCGGGTCCCGGCGTGGCGCGCCGCGCCTTAAATGCGGCGGCCAACCCACGAACGGCCGGCCCTTCTTCGGTGCCAGGTGCAAGTGGCCCGCCCGGAAGCTCGGCAGCCGGCGGGGTGTGGCTGCGGCCGGCCAGAGCCTGGCGAGCGTCTCATGCGAGAGCTACCCAGCAATGGAATACCGTGCACTGCAGGGTCATGCACGTTTTGTATTGGGGAGGAGGAGGGCCGTGTCCCGTTGAACACGAATGGGGCTTACTGGGAAGGATTGGGCCGCAAAGGCGCGGTCTTTTAGGGTTGCCAGCTCCAGGTTGGGAAATACCTGGAGACTTTTGGGGTGAAGCCTGAGAAGGGTGGGGTCTGGGGAGGGACCTCAGCAGGGTGTAGTGCCATACACTTCACCGTCCAAAGCAGCCATTTTCTCCAGGGGAAGTGATCCTGATCTCCGTGGAGAGCAACTGTGATAGCGGGAGATCTCCAGCCACCACCTGGAGGTTGGCAACCCTAGGTCTTGTGTGCACATTAACTTGGGAGTAAATGCCCTTGGACCTGAGCTGGACAGGCCAGCGTACCCTGATCCTGATCTCAGATGCCAGGCAGGGTTGGCTCTGGTTAGAAGAAGAAGAAAATATTGGATTTCTACCCTGCCCTTCACTCAGAGTCTTGGAGCCGCTTACAATCGCCTTCCCCTCCTCTCCCCAGAATAGACACCCTGTGAGAGAGCTTTTTGAAGACTGCTCTTGTGAAAACAGCTCTGACAGAACTATGGCTTGCCCAAGGTCACCCAGCAGCTGCATGTGGAGGAGTGGGGAATCAAACCTGGCTCTCCCAGATTAGAGTCTGCGCTCCTAACCAAAACACCAAACTGGCTAGTACATGGTTGGGAGACCACCACGCAAGTCCAGGGTCCTGACACAGAGGTAGGCAATGGCAAGCCACATTTGACCTTGAAAACCCTATGAGGTCGGCATCACTTAGCTGCAGCTTAACACCAGTATTGACACACACACATGTGTCATTGGAATCTGGCAGGACTCACGTTGCCAGTGCATAAGGGCAAGCCATAAGCCCCACTAGACCATCCCTACGCACAGTTACTCAGAAGTCCCCCTACCCTCACCCTGACCTGGATATCCCAGGCTAGCCCAGACTCGTTAGATTTTGGAAGTTAAGCAAGGCCAGCCCTGGTTACTATCTGGATGAGAGACCTCCAAGGAAGTCCAGGGTGTCTATGCAGAGGCAGACATTGGCAAACCTCCTCTGAACATCTCTTAACTTTGAAAAGCCCATGGGGTTGCCATAAATCAGTGGTGACTTGGCAGTAAAAACACACACACACAAAAATAGAGCCCCCTCGGTTCAAAGGGCTCTACTCACAAGGAAAGAGCCCAAGGAATGATGGAGCGTGATAGCTCCAACAGGTTCTAAATTGGTAGTAACCGAAAAGGATCACTACTTTGGTAGCAAAAAATCTCCTCCTTGCACTCAGAGGGGCCTTGAGTAAGAGGTAGAGAACCTGCTTTGCATACAGAACGCCCCAGGTTCACTTCCCAGCATCTCCGGTTAAACAAAAGGGCTGGGCAGTATGTGATAGAAAGGACCTCCATCAGACCCCTGGTGGTCAAAGTAGACAATATTGACCTTGATCAATCAACAGTCTAATTTGGTGTAAGGCAGCTTCATGTGTTCAGATGCCCAAGCCTGGTCTGCTGAACTCAGTGTTGAAATATAAATTAGTGTGACAAGGGGAGATTTAAAAAAGAGACTGCTGAATTACAACTGATAATTAAGTTCAAGCCAATGCATCCTCCTGGACTGAATTGAGACCTAGGTTTCCTGTCTCATTACCAGTGCTGATTTCTCTGTGCCTACTCCTCCTCTGCATATCACACCTAACCCAATCACACCTGCTATTCTCATTAGGCATCTGAAATCACTCTACTCTCCAGTGATAAGGACAGATGGATTCACATTCTAGCTATATCTGAAGAACTGGGCAGTGACTAACGAAAGGTCATACATTGCCACAATTTTTTTTAGTCTTTAAGGTGCTACTGGACTCTTGCTCTTTTCTAGAGTACCTTAAAAGCATCCATAGACCAAAGCTGACTAGATTGGATTCTCACAACAGCTTGATGAAGCATAGCTTCTGCCTTCTAGTATTTCTACTTTACAGCTAGAGAAAATGGATGCTGCAAAATCCTGAGTGCAGCTGAGATTTTCATTTCCGTGGTTCAAATATAGCAGTCAGCAACTGCACAACACTGGCTTTCACCAGCTTGGAGGGGTTGCCAGCTTCCCCTCCCCAGGAAGGGCTCCTTTGCTCTTAACAAATGGAAACCAGCAGGAGATACTTTTTGGAGCGTGGAGAGTATGAGAAGTTGCGATCCTCAGATCATACAGTGTGCCGAGTCCTGCCACTGAAGTCAATGGGGCTACTCCAGTGTTAATTTGTACATAATGAGATGGAGATAATTACAGTTTAGGTTCCAAGTGTTTGCCTCGCCCTGTTGGTAGCAGCCCCTGCTTCAAAGAGCCATTCAAGTTAAGAGCTGCCAACTTTTTTGGACAGGGCACCCCTGAGCCTATGACTCTAGAAATTAAACAGATGTAGCCGTTTCTAGAGTGGGGGCAGGCGCAATTGGGAAAACTCCACCTGTTACATTTCAGGTTGTTAAGCTGTTAAATGCAGGGGGGGGGGGAGTTAACCCTGAACTCCACTGTGCTACTTTGTAGTTATAATAACCAGTGGGGGGAATTGCTGACACCAGTAATATGTGAATGCTTCAAGATGATAATTAGAGAACAGAGAGCATCTAACCCACAAAAGCTGAAGTACAAGCTTGGAGGGAGTTTTTCGCCTTCCCCTTTATTCCACATTCTTTTTCTTTTCTCTGTGCTAGCTTGCTCCTTTTCTTCTTAAAAAAATGGTCTTTGCTTTTAACAATCGCTTGAAAGCTCCTAGCGTGAAAATGTGTGTGTGTGTGAGTGAAGTGCCGTCAAGTCACAGCTGACTTATGGTGACCCCAGCAAGGGGCTTTCAAGGCAAGTGAGAAGCCGAGGTGGTTTGCGATTGCCTTCCTCTGCAGAGTCTTCCTTCCAAGTACCTACCCTGCTTAGATTCCCAGATCTGGCAAGATTAGGCTAAGCTATACAGCCTTCCCTCCCAGCACAAAAATGTCATGCTAAAAAGAGCTTTATCAGCTGCATTTCTGTATGCAGGTTGCAATTAAAGGCACAGGAGCAGGGATTTCTTTCTTTTAATAAAAAAGAGAGAATCCTAATTTGTGATTTCCCCTCTTCCTAGAATTCTCTCTCCCTCTTCCCCTCTTTTTATGTTTGCTTGATAGAGGCAGTAGAAACATGCAAAGGAAGGAAGATACCCTCTTATTAAAGCCAATAGGGGAATTTCCTTTCTGCCTTGAGACTGTGAACTATCTAGTTAACCCACAGCCCAGGCCTCTGCATGTCTACTCGGAGGTAGGTCCTCTAGAGTTCAATGTAAGTTAACTAGTTGGTGCCTAGCCCTTCATCCAAGGTGGCTGGGGGGATTCTCTTATTTTCTCCTCCAAGTAATGTGGCAAAGTAGATTACAGCAAAAACATTGTGACCACTTCTCCCCTTTCAGTCTGAGTTAATCTAATTCTTTGGGAATCAGTTTGAAACTCCTTCGCTTCTCAGCATGCCAAAGCCAGCAAGCAAACTCCCAGCTCCTGGCCCCGGGCCCCTTTTTATTTTCTCCCAGCTGTTCCTTGGAGTTTGGAGATGGGATCTCCCTCCTCCAAATGTTGCTTCCTTTGGATCCAGCCAGAATACTTGGAATAGTTAAGTGTTTCCACTCCATCGCTGTTGCGTAATCAAATTGCCCAGTTATTTCCCTTCTGAAGCCAGTTCCTTCCCAAAACATAGCTTCCATCAATTTTGTTGTTTTCCAGTTGACCTTTCTTTTCCTCAGCCCTGAACACCAGGACTGTGGCAAATTTTTGCTATATGATGTGGAGGCAGTGATGTTGAGTGGTTATAACAAAGGAGACCATCAGTGTGCATCCTGGTCTGTGTTGTTATAAGTCTTTATTTTTTTTTACTTTTTTGAAAAGGCAGGGAAATAGTATAAAAGAAATACAGAAAGGAAAAAAGGGTTGACTAACATAATTATATATATCATAGATAATTATATCTAACCAAGTATAAAAGACAGAACATATTTCTCCCCAATGCCCCCTTTGTTACATTGAAAAGTTTTTGGAACTTTGTCTATAACATGCAATGATAATTTACTTCTGATGGGGTTATGGTGCTGGAGAAGACTCTTGAGAGTCCCTTGGACTGCAAGGAGATCGAATCAATCAATCCTAAAAGAAATCAAGCCTGACTGTCCCCTGGATGGCCGGATACTGAAGCTGAAGCTCAAATACTTTGGCCACCAAATGAGAAGGGAGCACTCACTGGAGAAGACCCTGATGCTGGCAAAGATTGAAGGAAAAAGAAGAAGGGGATGGCAAAGGATGAGATGGTTAGACAGTGTTATTGATGCAACGAACATGAAATTAAGCAAACTCCGGAGCATGACGGAGGACAGGAGGGCCTGGCATGATGTGATCCATGGGGTCCCGAAGAGTCAGACTCGACTGTGCAACTGGACAACAACAACAACATATTCCAAGTCATCATTTTACATTTCAAATCTGTTTTGCAGCTACATTATTAGTTTTGTCATTGCTACATACTCAATATTACATATTTTCCCCTCTTCTGCATACTTGCTGTTACTTTTAACAAGTAGATAACATCACAAAAATACAGAAGGAAAGTCCATTATATCTCTCATAATAAGAGAATTTAAAAAATATGTTCTCCCCAGAGTCTACTTCCTTACACACATTTATATAAAATGTATATATCTATATAAAATGAGAGCCAGTTTGGTGTAGTGGTTAAGTGCACAGACTCTAATCTGGGAGAACCGGGTTTGATCCCCCACTCCTCCACTTGCACCTGCTGGATGAGCTTGGGCAAGCATAGTTCTGTCAGAGCTGTTCTTGAAAAAGAGCAGTTTCTGTCAGAGCTCTTTCAGCCCCACCTACCTCACAGGGTGTCTGTTGTGGGGAGGGGAAGGGGAAGGAGTTTGTAAGCCGCTCTGAGACTCCTTTGGGTAGT